GGGAAATCCAACGTGGGAAATCTGTAGGGAATACAAACTTTGTGGCGAACTAGCCACGAATCCGTCGGTTGTAGGTTAGTGAAAAGCCTGGTTTTGTGAAAGGATAGGTAGGGGCAATGTCCATTATCTAGAGTTATAACCTACTTCGGATTCGTGGGATGAGCCAGCAAGTATTATATCATAGTTTTTCCTTTTTGGGGGGGTTTCTGGCGCGCAAAATCCAAGTTTAGGGTATGGTGAGAAGTTGGAATTCTTTTTCGGCACAGTTGGGTATCAACAGCAAGAGTTGGAGGGGTAAAATGAATATTTGGGTGGCTAAGGAACAAAAATACGGGTGGGTTTAGGGTTTTTGTTCATCTTTGTTTTTTGTGGTAAACCCTTCAGAACAAGCCATCGCAGCAACCAGTCGCATTTGGGACAATAGGGGTCTACCCGATTTCACAATAAAACCAATTGGGATGGTGACTATGGCATTGGCTTTACCTCGTCATTGATGCGGAGGTTTCCTACGTCATAGTGGTGCCTCCAGTCATCATCCATTTATAGATGGATTTTACATGAAATAGCCTCTGGTAAACTAACATAAATATGGAAAATCACCATTTCTAATAGGTAAATCAACTATAAATGGGCCGTTTTCAATAGTTATGTTAGTTTACCAGAGGGTACATCCAGCTACCGGGGAATCTCCATTTATGGAAACCCCCAGTCGTGAACTCTTTATACATCCGCCTGTTGATTTTTGGGGTTGCCATGGAGAGACTGTCGCAAATCACCAAGAAATCGTGAAGTTGTGACATCGGAATCTTGACAAGTGAAGCTTTGTAAAGTGGCGTAAATCTTGAGATGAAATGAATGTGGTTTAAATTTGTTTAAATCTACCAGGGCTGGATTCGTTGCGACAGCATGACTGGTGATGTGAGCCGCCAGTGTTCGACTCCCCAAGCTTTGCTGAAGCGACAAATTTTGAGTGCCTCACCATTCTGAATGCTCAAAAGGACTTATTTGAGTTGAAATCGGGCTTTGCGCCCAAGACCGCCCCTGGAGCCCACCTTGACAAGCAAAAATAGCCATGGTGGGAAACTTCCCAGTTCCAACCCTTTCTTATTTGCGGGATTCTGAGCCCTACCGGAAAAAAAAAACAACCATGGCTATTTCTGGTTCGTATAACCCATTAAATCTCATAAAAACCCATTAAATCACCTAAAAACCATGGGTTTTAATGGTTTTAATGGGTTGCAGGCCCTTATAGTTGGTATAGGGGGTTACACCCCACTGCAATCATCCCCAGTAGTGTCCTCCCTCAGAACTTCGTGCAGGTCCGTCTATATGCGCTTTTCGCCGCTGTCGCTGCGCGAAAAAAGACTTGGGATCCATGAAAGAAAGATGCATTTGTTGGTTGCCCTCTGGCAAATCAACAGTTGAACATAGTTGAACCCTGAAAATCACCCATTTTGAGTTTCACGAATTTTCCAAGCCCCAAGTCATGGCAGGTTCTTTACAGTTCATCTACTGTAGGGTAGTTGGAAATAGTTGGATTTCAACCATCGTTGGGATGCCCAAGATGCACACGGGGCCGAACTCAATTTCAAAAGGGGAGTGAATTTGTGCCAAGTTGACTAATGTTGGTACAATAATAAACCATCCATATGTTTATGGTTTATACCATCCATTTATGGTGATTTAGGGGATGGTTTACTATTGCTGTAACCACATTAACCAAAAATTGGGATTTCACCCAATAAAGTCAAAGCAAGTTCCTCAGTTCTTCGCGTAGCCTCTGGTAATGACTAGCAGTTTGCTATGCCGGCCTATGTAGTTTGATGTGTCTATGAAAAGTGGTGATTTTCCTTCCCCGGATCCTCTTGGGGCTGGATTTGATCCCTTAGTGATCTTCGTTTCTTGGTGAAACTTCCATTGCTGGTGATTCCATCAGCAGAACAACCCAAGAATCGGGTGAAACCTACATGTTCCAGATTTGTTCCTTGATCAAGAAGCATGTTTTATTTACCCTCTGGTAAATAAACATAGACCCTGAAAATAGCCAATTTGTAATGGAAACTAGTCTTCCAACCCCTATCTGCCAGGGTCTATGTTAATTTACCAGAGGGTATATGTTCTTAGAATTCTGAAAGATCTCTCAAGTTTGGGTTGCTTCCCCTCTTTTTTGATGCTCAATTTTCAGGCATCTGATGGTTTTCCTGTGGAATTTCATGGCATCTGATGGTGTTTCCATAAATGGGTGACCTCCAATAGCTAGATGGTGTATTTCATGGAAAATCCATCTATAAATGGATGATGACTGGGGGGTACCTCTATGACTTAGGAATCCTCCATTTCCTCAATGGTCATTTCAGGAACCGATTGATTGGAGGTACCGATTCCATATATAAGGCCTATATATATATATATATATATCAGGCCTAAATTTCAGGGAATATCCCCACAATTCATATCGCCAGAAATATGGTACGTTTACGTACCTCCATCAATTGGATCCTGAAGATCTACCAGTGATTTCCCGCGACCCGCGACCGTCGCGTGGAAACTTCCCGGGAAATTCACGGTGTGTCAGGACCTGGCGCATCGTCGTGGAGTCCGCGTTCACGCCCTGGACACCACCAGCTTCATGCGGAGTTGCGCCCGACAAACCCAGCGCGGTTGGGTGGTTCCAATGGACTAATCCCCTGACTGGTTGGTGGTGACTGGAACATTTTATTGATTTTCCATTTCATATATATGGAATAATCCTTCCAATTGACGTTCATATTTTTCAGAGGGGTAGGTCAACCACCAACCAGCTGAAAAAAATGATAGTGATCCCATTTGTAATTGGGTACTGTAGGTTAGTTCACCCTAGTTATGTCAGTGTGTGAACCCTACTTATCCCACTTACCAGGGAGATTATATCCACTATTACATTGGAAAATCATGGGATGAGTTCATGGGATATGAACGCATTTACCAAATTCATATATCAAACATTAAAAACACTGGGATGTCCCCTCACAAATGGAACTCTTGATAGGAAAATCAACTACAGGATGGGCCCCCGTCAACGAGCGTTTTGGCGCTCAGTTGACATATGGATAAGTGGCTGAATGAACTATGGTTTATGGTAGATATAACGAATATAAGTAACCTATCAACTATGGTTTATCGATGATTATGGTAGATATAAAAATGGTTTTCATGGGGATTGTAATCCAACCAACATCACTAGGCACCTGTGAGGAGATCGGTGAAGATGTGTTTTCATAAACCAATGGTTAATCATGGTTTTCCTGATGGATATTGGGGAGCTTTTCATGGAGATTGACCGTATTTTATGGGTTGATTGAAGGCTCTCAGGCTCTTCAGCTGTGAGATCATGTTCAGCATCGTATCCACCCACGCCCCTCCATTTTCAGACTCAGAGTTACGTATCCACTTTATTGTTGGCCTTGGCCTTTATGTACCAATACTTTCTTGGTACATAAAGGCTATAGTCCATCTAAATCCCCATAGGATTTTTGTTGGTTGGTCCTTCATTCCCAGCATGTTCCACTGTCGAGGTGGATTTCTCCGATGTGGACATTCAAGTTTGGGCTCTCAGCCGACAGCGTCGATGATTTCTTCACAACTGGGAGCACTGGGAATGGCAGCAAGTAGGCCAGTTAAAAATGCTGCTGACGAGCATGGCAAAGACATGTCAGAAAGTAATAAAAAATAGTAAAAACAGGGGTTTACCATGGTTTACCAACAAATCATGGTTAATATTTGGTTGATGGTTGATGGTTTGATAAACCAGTTGATGGTAAACCATGGTAAATGATCAGATAAACCAGCTAAAAATCACGTAAAAACTGGGGAGCCACAGCGTCCCGCACTCTTTTTTTTGGATCGAAATCTTCTTCCAACAGTAAAGTTGCTCCAGCTTGGAATGCCTCTTTGTATCAAGATCTATCCAGGGAAAAGGCATGAAAATCGCCAGCTCCGGGGACCTTTTTTTTTTGAGGTCACCAGGCCAGCCACTTCCCTTGGTTTATCACAGGGGCTCTCATTGATTAGCTATGACAAGTAAATCTTGTCATAGCTATATGGTAAATCTTTATATAGTACATTTGTAGCATAGCTATTGACATTATCCATATCTATATCTAGAATGGTAAATCTTTATATAGTACATTTGTAGCATAGCTATTGACATTATCCATATCTATGTTTAAATAGCGGTTGTCATCATGTCCATAAATCAGAGTGTTTACCATTCCTGCCGTTGATTTCTATGATTCATTTTCAGGGTAACATTGTGAGAAGTGGAGGACATGGCTTGAAGATTAGCGGCGCCTCCATGTTTTGCCGCTTGGGGGGAACATTTATTGTTGTTCAACAATATTAAAGAGGTGATTGATTGAGATGATTCAAACATTTATTGATATTTATTGTTTTTCAACCACACTAAAGGGGTGATTGGTTGAGATGACAAGCATTATTTATTGCATTTTCTTGGGATCCGTTGGAATCCTTAAAACCACCAACCAGTTTAAGAAACACCCCATTGTGCTGGTAAAAAAAATGAAGTTCATGTCTTTGGAAATCGACACTTTTCTTCGGGGTGACACTAAATCCTGGTCTCAGCTTCAATCCATGTATTTTAGCGTGTCGAATTCACGGACAAAAAAAACTGTTGTCACCCAGAGATAGTCATCGTTCATGGGGAAAACTATTGGTTTGGGGCTACGATTTTCAACACGTTCAGCTCCGGCTCGTAGTCGGTGCGCGCCATTTTCGCAGTATAGATGTTCATGTTACCAACTTCCATCCTAAAGTCGATCTTTGAAAATATGAGAGGGATATGTCATTCATTTTGATCTTTGAAAACAAATCCTGCAGTTTAAAAATCCCCATGTTCTTTTCAAGAAGATTTTTCAAAAAATCCCATCTTTTCAATTTTGGGATATGTTTTTTGACCATTTTGGGGCTGTTGTCGGAGCGCGTTATCGCTGCCATGGTGACTCATGGAGCCGTGGATCCTGGTGGATCGTGTCGCATCAGGCGCATTCTATGGTAAAAAAAGGCTGAATTCTATGGTAAACAAAAATATCTATGGTAATTCTATGGTAAAAAAAAATGGATGTTTATGATATATATATATATATGAATGTAACCTATCTATATGGCATATATGGTAGATATATAACGAACGATCGTATTCATGATGTTAATGGGGGTTATTAAGCAACGGTCATCTATATTTATGTAAAAAATCTTGTGGTAATTCTATGGTAAAAATGATAAATGTATGTTGATTATGGTATAACTAATATGGATGTAACCTATCTATATGGTGAACATAACTAGGTCAACGAACTGGTAAAAATTAGTCTTTATGGTAGATATAACGAACGATCGTATTCATGTGGTGAATCTAAACTAACGTTCACATCACTGGGCACAATCCTGTAGAGAAATGGTGCTTTTTCATGTGGGTAAAACCATGCCATTTTTACCACCGTAAATTGGGAAAGCTGAATTTATACCACCTAAATGGTGATGACTGGGAGATGGTTTATTATTGATTTACCCACATTGTAAAGAAATTTGAGACACGATTTTCAGACAAGGCCACATGGCTACCCACATGGCTATATACTTCATGGTTGGAAAAAGTTGGAAAAAATTGCCCCAAAACCATCCAAAACTGATGGTGTGCCCCAATGGGGATGTGGAGATGGTGTGCCCCCAAAGGCAGTGATTTTTGTTCACCACATATCACCACTACGTAGCCATAAAAAAAAGTCGGGACCGGCCATAAAAAAGCTGCCGGAAGGCCATAAGCCTCTGAAATATCCGGTGGATGCGAAATTCGACCAGTTGAAAACGGTGGTCAGTAAACATCCCATTACCCTCTGGTAAGGACTAACAGTTTGCTATTGAAAATTGCCCATTTATAGTTGATTTACCCATTAATAATGGTGATTTTCTATAGCTACGTTAGTTTACCAGAGGCTATTTTGTTTGGGTTTTTCAAAACCATCCTTTTGATGGTGAATTCGCGGGCCCATCCACAGTTTTTGACCATGTTTCCCATTCCACCAGATCTCTGGGGAATCGACTTTGTATGTTATGTTTCTGGGACTTATAAGCAAATCTACAGGATGGGGCCCCCAAGATAGCTAAGTCGTTGGTTTATAAGTGGTTGAATTCAATGGTTTATGGTAGATATAACTTGATATAACTATAGTTAATGGAAGGTATAATGGTTTATAAACCAACTTATAACTGGGGGGCCCCACCCTGTAAGCAAATCTAAGTTTTTCCAGGTTTCAGAAAAATGGCAAAGGTACCCACTGGTAATCAGTTCCATGGTTGGAAAATCCAGCATGGATGATTTTCCCAGCTATCAACCTCAGCAACTGAGTCAACCTTGGTTTACGAACAAAAACCTTCAATCTTTTCCCAGCTACAGGATGGGGCCCCCGTAAACGTTGGCGTTTTGGCGTTCAGAAACGAGATATGGCAGCTGAATTCGATTTTGTTCATGTTAGATCTAACGAACTAGATAACGAACGATCGTATTCATGGGGTGTTTTTGAACCAACGTTCACCAGCCACATGGGCACCTGTAGAATTAAGCATCATTAATCCCCATTAATAACCATTTATAACTGGCTGGTGGATTCAAACTATTTTCCATTTCATATATGGGATGTCATCCTTCCCATTGACTTTCATATTTTTCAGAGGGGTTCAAACCACCAACCAGATAATGTGGGTAAAACAATCATAAACCATCCCCAAATCACCATACATAGGTGGTATAACCATTCCCAAATGGGTTGTTTTTTATTGTGTTAACCACATTACAGGATTTTCCATCATTAATCCCCATTAATAACCACCAACCAGTGTATATATATATACATATAGCTAATGGAGACTATATGGTTATTATTGATTAAAACCTGTAGAATAGCATATTTAGAATAATTCCCATTAATAATCCCCATTAATCATCCCCATGAATCATCCCCATTAATAACCATTAATAATCAACCATGGGAACCATTTAACCATTAATAGCCATTAATAACCATTAATAATCATTAATAAGCATGAATAATCATTAATAACCATACATAGGTGGTATAATCATTATTGTTTTTTTATCAACCCCAAGATTCACCATGGGATGATTTGACACAGTTTTCCAGCCTGCGACAGGCCAAGCCGAGGCCGAGACAGGCATCACCGGCCTGCAGGTTGTAGCCATCCCCAAATGCCTGGGATATCCATCAATCTGGGTAAATTATAACGACCTCACTGCGACCGAGCCCTGGAATCATAGTCAATAAGGGGAATGATCCCAAAATAACCGAACTATTCAGTTAGTGAAATATTATAATTACCCAGATCAATGCGAATATAATGGGAATATAACGGGAATATGGGAAGGGACTAATCCTACTGTCGGTACCTTTTGGTATGGGATTCTCTACGTGAAACACAGCTAAGAATCGATCATTTTTTGCAGGGTATCTGGCTGATTGGCCATGTTGGGTTTACCATGGTTTACCATGGTTTACCGTTGACCTTCCAATTTCTCAATCGCAACAGATACAGCAGCTTGTGATGTGGCATTCACCATTTTTCATCAATGCACTTTTAGATGGGGAATGATGCGAAACTTGTGAGCTGTTTGAACATCATTTTCAAGTGGTTTTTACTTGATGTGATGTGAGGAAATAGGAGATTTACTAACGCCTTTGATATTGCAAACCATGTGGGGATGCCTCTGATCCACTGGGAATCCCGTTCTCAACCAAGTCAACCAAGCAGTCATACAGGATGACGAACCACACGTTTTGAACACTGCTCATGTGCTGTTGGTTTTGTATATGACCCTCATTTTCCGGGGACGTGTTCCAGCAAAAATGGAGCAGTGTCCAACCAAACTTTGAACTAACTTGGGACGTCGTTTTGGAAGTGCGGGATATCCAATCCAATCCAATCTCGTTTGTGTCCAGAAAAGCAGGATACTCTCCAGTAATTTAATGCTGTAGAAAATGGTCCATGTATTTGTGATCTACTCTGGTTGGTGCTTTGGAACATTTTTTATGACTTTCCATTCAGTTGGGAATGTCATCATCCCAACTGACGAAGTCCATCATTTTTCAGAGGGGTAGGTTGAAACCAGGCTCAACCACCAACCAGTTATTGAAGCCAGTGCAACAACCAGAGGCTATCCCAAACTCCACAGGTTGATTGTCATGTTTCGAAAATAGCCGGTGAACTTTACACCAGAAGAAGAATCCCATCCATTGATGCGAAGATTGCGAAGCGATTCCCAGAACAATTGCTTCAATTGATACCCTCCGGTAATTGAACATTGAACATAGCTATTGAAGATTGCCACATACTTCGTTGATTTACCTAAAGTCGTGATTTTCCAGTTCGCAAACTGTAAACGTTTACCAGAGGCGAATTCTTCGTTTCAACATGTTTCAACTCGGAATTTCCCACCATTCTATCCATATTCCAGGGTGAACTCTCAATTTTCCCATCCCAAGACGTTTCGGTCCTTTCCCGGGCTGGGGCGAATTAAATGGACTCCCAAAACTCCACTCGCAAATTGAATAAAGACCGAAGCCTGTTCTCCCGAAGCCTGGTTCATCATGGTTAATAAATGTTAATAAGAGGAATCATCCCAAAATGGCCGCAAGTTTCAAGTTAGTGAATTATTATCATTTGCCCAGATTTATAGATGATTTTTCCAGCAATGATTAGCCAGCTACGTTTGAGGACACCGCTGCGAGTATCCCTGATTGTTGGCTATCCCAATACATCACACTTATATCCGCATCGGTTTTTTCCCATTAGAATCCATAAACTATAGATATCCATAGATATCCATGGTTGGCTACCATGATAAACTATAGATATCCATAGATATCCATGGTTGGTTACCATGATAAACTATAGATATCCATAGATATCCATGGTTGGTTACCATGATAAACTATAGATATCCATAGATATCCATGGTTGGTTACCATGATAAACTATAGATATCCATAGATATCCATGGTTGGTTACCATGATAAACTATAGATATCCATAGGTATCCATGGTTGGTTACCATGATAAACTATAGATATCCATAGATATCCATGTTCACATCCAGAAATTCCAGCCTTTTCGGTTTGTTCAGTCAGACGGCACCGAAAGATCTTACGGATCAAACCATCCCAGCCTGGGTAAAAAACTCATCACGACCGAACCCGGAAACGACCTCCCTCACAATAATCATAGCTAGTAAGATTCAGATGAGTGAAATATAACATCTTATTTACTCAGTTTTTCATGGATTAGCCGGCCTGGTAAACGTTTACATAACCATTATTAATTGCTGGAAATTATGAAAATTGATTATCAATATTATAATTTACCCAGATCCATCCGTCGTGGGCGTTTATTCTAGGCCAATGGGTCGCCGTGACCTGTGATCCCCAGATGGCCATCACAGTGGCCTGGCCTTCGACGGCGTGGCGAAAATTGTGGCATATTGTGGCTGAATGAACTACCCGGCCTGGTAAACTAACAGTTTGCTATTGAAAATGGCCATAGAAATAGTGAGTTTTCCCATTGAAAATGGTGGATCTTTCCATAGTTTTTTGTAAACGTTTACCAGAGGGTATGGTATTCTATGGATGTTTATGTAAAAAATAATTATGGTAATTCTATGGTAATTCTATGGATGTTGGATGTTGATTAGATTTAACTAAAATATGGATGTAACCTATCTAGATGGTGAACATAACTAGGTCAACAACTGGTTTTTGTTGATGTTTATGGTAGAATGAAAACTGGTATGAATACTGGGCTTTTCGAAAGGTTGGTTGGTGATACAATGTGGGGCGCCCGTTTACGATGGCTAAGTTGGTGAACATAACTCCAATAACTATGGTTTATTATCATACTTATAACGAACTAGTTAATGGGGTCTATAAACCAACTAACATCACTGGGGGACATAATGGGGATAGAGGTTTGATGATTAGTGTTGAGCCAGGAATGATGACCAATATTCTATACTTTGGATAGAAACCATTTCCCATGGATTCTTGTAAACTTGGGATACTAGTGCTTTATAGTTGTTAATGTGGAAAGACCGCTGTTTGCATGGGGATTTTTGATGGCAGAAACACCCCACATTTTCATGGAGGTTTGAAGTGGAGAAAACTTCGAACAAATCATGTGGATTTTCCAGCAAATCATGTTTGGATTGCTGCAGGAGAACGCGGAGAACATGACTATTGAAAATGGCCATTTATAGCTGATTTACCCATCAAAAATAGTGGATCTTTCCATAGCTATGTAAACGTTTACCAGAGGGTAATGTTAAGCCATGATGTTACGATTTCCCCTCAAAGTTGTCATCCGATTATTTCTGGGAGAGTACTAGAAAATGATGATTCTACTGGTCATCCGGGAGGATCTTGATGAAGCACCAACTCATGATACCATGATATGGGCATCACAATGGCGATATATGGCGATATTTCATGAGATATGTTCTAGCTGAGGCCGAAAGCGGGCCCAGAGGGATGTTTTTTTCATGGGATCTATGGTATAGAAAGGGCTACCAAACAGTCCTGCCATGGGGAAACTTGAGGAACCCAAATTGTTGCAGCCTAAGATTAGGCATGAAAATGGTTGATTGAACATCATTGTCAGGTTCCAACCGCATTCTGTAACGGTTGGTTTTGAACCACACGAAGCAATGGCTAGCATCGGTGTGGAGATTATATCCCAGCTTCGATAAGAAATGATAAGAATAAGTCGGGGATTCCTATAATGCACCCGGCACCCCAAGCAGGGTTTATATCAACCACCAGATTGTGAGTTGAGCTGGTGGATTCTATGTATGTCTACCCTGAGTAAACCTTGCTTGAATAGGCAGGTGGGTCGAATTGGTTGCAAAGACAGGGAATATACTATGAATATACTGCACAGCTCAAAAGTGCAAGTTTTCTGTATCTAAGACTGCCTGCATTGCAACCATAGTAGGTCACAACTTCCAGGTTAATCATCAGTAATCCTCCCGTGTTGTGTCACTTGCCGAGGCTAGCTTAGCTGCTTCTTGGACGCACCAACAGCAGTTTTCTCAATGAGTTTGACCACTCCAGCAGTAGAATGATCTTCTCGTTGGTGCTTTAAAATGGCCCTAGGGTATACCAAGATATGTGTGAAAACTCCATGGTGTCCCTTGGGGAAAATGATCTACAAATTGGTGTTTTTCCATATCTATCTTAGTTTACACGAGGGTGATCATCTAAAACAAACATCACGCGTAAGCATCGATAATGGCGATATAATTACATAGCATAAAAATAATGTAATGTAATGTCATATAATGTAATACAATATACCATGTGTCTACAACCAGGAATATCTTATCTTATACCATTACCGGATCACCATGTAATGTAATATGCCATGTGTCTACAACCGATGATGACACATGGTATATTATATTACATTAAATCATTTTACATGAGTTGTGCTGGTTTGTGGTTTGGAACATGTTTTATTTTTCCATATATTGGGAATAATACCCCAACTGGCTAATATTTGTCAGAGGGGTTGAAACCACCAACCAGTAATGTAGCTTCAGTTCTTTGGAAAATCTTCGTCTCCGTTTTGTGACGATCCACGGATCGTGGGATCCACGTCGAGGGGATCACAAGGTGAGGCCAGAACCAGCATGGGGTGCGCTCATCGCCATCGTTGGTGAAAAAACATGGCTCAAAATAGCTGGTAAATAGATGTGCATCTCCCCTAAAAATGGCATCTGTAGGTAGTGATCCATAGCCATATTTGATCATATTTGATCAGATCTGCAAATATTGTTATAGGGACACTGATACTGCTTGGTGGTTTGGAACCATGGAATTTTATGACTTTCCATTCAGTTGGGAATGCCATCGTCCCAACTGACGAAGTCCATCATTTTTCCCGAGAGCGCCTGCGAAGGGTTCTTCGTAAAAAAGCAGCCGTTATACTACATCTTCACACCTTCACATCTGCTGATCTACATCTTCACACCTTCACATCTGCAGATCTTCTTCACACCCTCACACCTGCAGATCTAGATCTTCACACCCTCACATCTGCAGATCTACATCTTCACACCCTCACATCTGCAGATCTACATCTTCACACCCTCACATGTGCTGATCTACATCTTCACACCCTCATATCTGCAGATCTACATCTTCACACCCTCACACCTGCAGATCTGGATCTTCACACCCTCACACCTGCAGATCTAGATCTTCACACCCTCACATCTGCAGATCTGGATCTTCACACCCTCACATCTGCAGATCTAGATCTTCACACCCTCACATCTGCAGATCTACATCTTCACACCCTCACACCTGCAGATCTAGATCTTCACACCCTCACACCTGCAGATCTAGATCTTCACATCCTCACACCTGCAGATCTAGATCTTCACATCCTCACACCTGCAGATCTAGATCTTCACACCCTCACATCTGCAGATCTACATCTTCACACCCTCACATCTGCAGATCTACATCTTCACACCTTCACATCTGCAGATCTCCTCTCGCTCTTCTTCTATTCTCTCTTAAGGCGGGGGCGGTGCCGCCGGAGCGCCACGAAACGCAACCCTTTCGCGCGAAATGGACGTTGGACGTCCAAAACCTAGGTGAAATTGCGATTTTGAAGCGTCCGGCGCAACCCTTTCGCACGAAATGGACGTTGGACGTCAAAAACTGAGCAAAAATTGCGACTTTGAGGTGTCCCGCGCAACCTTTTCGCACGAAATGGACGTTGGACGTCAAAAACTGAGGAAAAATTGCGACTTTGAAGCGTCCCGCGCAACCCTTTCGCACGAAATGGACGTTGGACGTCAAAAACTGAGGAAAAATTGCAACTTTTATTGGTCGCGCGCAACCCTTTCGCACGAAATGGACGTTGGACGTCAAAAACTGAGGAAAAATTGCGACTTTTATTGGTCACGCGCAACCCTTTCGCACGAAATGGACGTTGGACGTCAAAAACTGAGGAAAAATTGCGACTTTGAAGCGTCCCGCGCAACCCTTTCGCACGAAATGGACGTTGGACGTCAAAAACTGAGGAAAAATTGCGACTTTGAGTTGTCAATCGCAACCCTTACGCACGAAATGGACGTTGGACGTCAAAAACTGATGAAAAAATGCGATTTTACTTGGTCAATCGCAACCCTTACACGCGAAATGGTCGTTGGACGTCAAAAATTGAGGAAAAATTGCGATTTTACTTGGTCAATCGTAACCCTTTCGCACGAAATGGACGTTGGACATCAAAAACTGAGGAAAAATTGCGGTGGACGCTTTCGTTTGTGTAAAAGTGTCTGTGTGTAAAAGCGTCTGTGTGTAAAAGCGTTTGTGTGTGAAAGTGTGTGTGCGTCTGTAAAAAAGCATCTGCATGTAAAAGCGTATGTGTGTAAAAGTGTCTGTGTATAAAAGCGTCTGTGTGTTAAAGTGTTTGCGTGTAAAAGTGTCTGTGTGGAAATGCGTCTGTGTGTGTGTGCGTGAAAAACGTCTCTGTGTGAAAGCGTCTGTGTGCAAAAGTGTTTATGTGTAAAAGCTTCTGTGTGTAAAAGCGTCTCTGTATAAAAGCTTCGCGTTTCTTCGCGTTCACGGAATGATGGTGCCG